ATGGTGAATGGTGGAATTTACGTTATTTTGTTTGTTCACAGTTAATGTGTGTTTTGTTCTCTTGACAAGGGCGTAGCTGGTCCTGAAAAGGAGAAAGGCACTTGCTTGTTTGCCTGAGGCTGGCTAGTGCCTTCTGGATAAGTTGGCACCCTCAAGGGGAAAGAGGGACCATCTCTTTCATGACAGCAGCGGAGCATGAAGAACTGCAGAAGAAAAAAGCTTCATGAGTGCAGGGTGAGGAAAGCAGAGGCGAGGAGACCAAGTCAACAGAAAGCCTTCAGAAAGAGTGAGAATGAGGAATGCCAAGAAGAGCAATGAGCAGACGCTCAGTCAGGGCTTGGATAGAGAAGGAAAACAAGGTGTTTTACTGGGGGCTTGGGGGGGACTGTGCAGAGTTTGTTGCAGCCCAAGAAGTCCTCTGAATGCTGCTGGCCTGAAAGCAAACCTAAAAGAATGAGCCTGCCTTGGGAGCACACTGTGGGTAGGAGAGGGTTTGATCACAAACTCTTATTTTTATTCTGCTTCACTCAAGAGGACCAGTAACGAACTAGAACAAGGGAACCTTGAAAATCCATGTTCAAGTAGAACAAAGGTTTAGGCTGTAAAAGTTCCTTTGTGTGTTTTTGGTCCCTTCAGAGTTTGTGCTGTTTCCCACTGAGGAGGGAGGGAATGGCTGCTGCACAGAGTCAGTGGCTGCCTCCTTGGCTTTTCCTTGAATGTCATTTAAAAAACAACAAAGCATGCAGAAATGTTTAAGAGCAGTGGCCTTTCAGCCTTTCTAGATACCCAATTAAGTATTCAGGGCAGATGCTTTAAAAAACCTGGCCAAATTTTCTTGAAATCTGCAGTTTTGGCTGGAATACGTGTTACTGTTCTATACAACTTCCCATCCAGCCCATGAAAAACCAGCCATTTGAAGGAAAAGCAGTTAATGAGCTTTGCTCATGAGTATGTTTATGACTTTTCAGTCTGATTTTGACATATTACTGGCATTGGTGACATTTTTGCTTCCCTTCACTTTTATAGAAATAGAAAGATTTTAGAATGTGCTAAGTACTTCATACAGGCAGTGTTGCACTGGGCACAGTTATATGATAGAGAGAAACATGGAATATATGCATCTGTATCTTGTGTAGGACAAGGATCTTCAAAGGGCTAGCTGTAGATCAAAGCCCAGCCTGTAAGGTGCGATCAAATAGCCTGCTGAATAAGACCAAAGAGGATGAAGCCTTTTGGTACAGCAACCCTGGTTTGTTTTGCCACAGACAGTGTATTCCTTATGTCAGGTGCAAGTTCGTGGCATCCCCACTTACACACGCACATGAAGTTCCAGTGCACACATGTTATTCTCCTCTCATGCATGTGGTAGAGCTGTAGCTGCTCTTAACTCCTCCATCATCCCACTCTGAACTCATTTCAAAAAGTTTTTGAAAACGAGTATACAAAACACATACTCTGGAAACTTTCCAGCAGAAAGCTTAGGAAAAAGAGGTTTAAAAGGGGATAGAGGGGCGTGGGGGAACCAACGCAATCCCCACTGCTGTATTTGTATCTCCCTGTTGTTGCAGATGACGCCCTATAAATAAAATGCTTGGCAAGCTTCCTGGCGTGGAGCAGAAGAGTGTACATTAATATGTGCTATGAGGAATAAGTTCTGTAAGGAGCTCTCTTCCTCCTTCCCTGTGGGCTGGTTTTGGCTGGGATAGAGTTAATTTCTTCATAGCAGCTGGTATGGGGCTATGTTTTGGATTTGTGCTGGAAGCAGTGTTGATAACACAGGGACGGTTTCATTACTGCTGAGCAGGGCTTACACAGAGTCAAGGCCTTTTCTGCCTCTCACCCCACCCCACCAGCGAGGAGGCTGGGGGTGCACAAGGAGTTGGGAGGGGGCACAGCCGGGACAGCTGACCCCAGCTGACCAAAAGGATATCCCACACCGTATGACATCGTGCTCAGCATAAAAAGCTGGGGGAAGAAGGAATGGAGGGACGTTTGGAGTGATGGCGTTGACCTTCCCAAGTAATGATTACGTGTGATGGATCTTCCGATTCTCTCCCCCATCCCACGGGGGAGGAGTGAGCGGCCGTGTGGTACTTAGTTGCCAGCTGGGGTTAAACCACGACACCCCGAAACATTCCCAAGATTTCCAGCCATATATACACAAGGACACCTGTATATGATCCATACAGCTCTTTGTGTCTCCAGCATCTACAGAGGCCTTGTTCCCTGAGAGTTCCTCAATGTTGTAGTAAGAAAGCAACGGAATAGTAAAACTTTGAAGTTGACAATTATTGTCCTTTTTGGCTATGTAAATATAAGCAAAAACTGCTTTACCTTTCCTCCTGTTTGTTAACTGATGGCAAGAAAGGCTTATTTAGATTCTTATTAATCAGGTGCTAACAATGTAAAGCGCTGGAGGACCTACCTTTGTGTCCTTCTGATCTGACGCAATCCCAGGCGGAACAGAGTGAGTCCCTTTTTGCGCAAGATGGCTGATGAGTTTCAGGAGGGCAGGAGAATGCGTAGCAACCTGCGTTGAAAAACTGACGGAAGAACAGGAGATTGCGTACTGCAGCAGTAGGAGCTTGTGCCAATGTTAGTGCGAGAGAGTGAGTCCAAGAGAAGAAACATGAGGTCTTCTGTTATGAAGTTGTGAAGTAGAAATGAGAGCTTAGGACAAATGATAAGTCAGGAGGCCATAGCTGCTTTTAAAGAAAGAAAAAAAAAAAAAAAGTGAGTTTGGTGCAGAAGATGGGTCAAGGGAAACTTTTCCAAGTTTCATAAGCAGCAGCATTTTTGGACCTGTTGGAGGACAGAACAGTTTGAGCAAAAGAGTTTGATGGATAGGAAATAAATGGAACGTGAAATACCAAGCTTTAGCTTTTTAGATCTGAGCTGTTTCTTGCTAAAGTGTTTCTAAAGGTTTCATAGCCACGATAATATTTTTTTTTTTAATATGCCCAAACTTTCCTTAAAATGATTGAGAGCCTAGTGCTATTGCTGGCTTCTTGAAGCTAGTTTTTACTGGCCTCAACAGTTGTTTCAAGGAAGGCTTGATTAAAGTGTCACATAGCTATAGTGAACTGGTATGTGACTTGTTTCCCCAGCAGACTTTCTTATCGCAAGCCTTTAATGAGGACCATGTAGGGGAGGGTTTTTTTTTTTCCTCCTTGGGGCTTTTTTTTTTTTTTTAAAGTGAAACACTAGAACTTTGCTCTGAAGCAAAATTTGTTTGATGTTGAGTGTATCTTATTGAAATATCCTTGACAGCCGCATGCAAAGATCCTGTATAACCTGTGATGTACACACAGTAACCATGGGGAACTGAAACTTCTCCTCGTGGCATGTTTGGGGTTAGACACACTCTAAGCATTAAAGCGGTTTGTCTTCCAGGTGGGTAACACATCACCATAGGTAACAGATCTAGGTTACTAGGTAACAGATCACCCTAACTGTGATGACAGGAAAATATCTAGGACTTGCTGGCCTAAGGAGACAATCTTGCCCTTAAAGTCCAATTGTCTTAGTTTAGTAATGATACACAACAAGTGGATGAAGCTGGAAAGTGGCTAAAGGGTGGTGTTGTCAGATACCCTGTGGGGCCTTTTGGGACTAGCTTAAAACATTCCCTGCCATCCCAGAAGAGAGCGTGCATTGCTCGAGTGGTTCTCATCTGTACCTGTGCAAAGTTTTCCAGGTCAGCCAAGAGCCACTCCTGAAGTCCCTTTGAACCTGTTTGACACCGAAAGTTAAGAAATGCTCGGACGATCCAGTCTGGTGACTCGGCTGTGGGGGCAGTAACCTCCAGCTGTGACACCGAAACACACACCTGGGAGTGGCATGATGAAACTGTGCTGGCTGCTTTCAAAGTGATTACACCCTCACGTAGCCGGTGCCTTTTCAGAAAGGGGCCATGTAGGCTCTGTTGGCAAGGAAGGATGCTTTTTTTTTTTTGTCCAGTAGCCATAGTGTGAGCTTGTCATTGGCCTGTCCCCTCATGGGCAGCAGTGCTCTGGAGGCACTCATGGAAGAATGTCCAAAGGGCTTTAAGGAGGGAAAATGGGGTTAATGCTATCACCACTGAATTTTAAAAGGAGGCACACTGTGCATGAGGTAGGCTTGAAGAAGAGCTCCAGGGTGGTGGGAAGAGAGGCCAGCAAGGTGTAGCACAGCTGGTATAGGAAAGGGGTTAAAAGACAACACTGCAAGGTGGTAGGGCAGAGAAGTACAGCAGGACTGCATTACGCCTTGAAAGAAAGAACATGGTGGAGGGGAAAGCCAATGAAGGCTGTCCTCTGTGGTATATGATGGAAGATATACCATAGTAAAGAGGCAGGGGAGGAATGTTGTCTCAAGACCTGAGTGGTAGCTGCTGTAGTAAGAGAAACACTCTGAGAGGCCAAGGAGGCATGCAGCATTGTAGATGAAGAAGAATATTGAAATGTTAACTTCAAAGAACAGAGAAAGATGTAGAGAGAGTCTGGACTGATCGTCAGAGGGGATCAGATGTTGGCACTAGTCACGGTGTCAGAGAAGCGCCGCAGAGGAGAAGACCGAGAGGCTGGGCTTCACAAATGTCAGGTTCTGAGGCAAATAGTTCAGTGTTAGGGGAGGCAGTCTGCAAGGTGGTGTGCTTGTGTCTGCTCACTAAGGACAGCACAATCTGTGCTGGAGAGCTGCAAAGGTGTTAACGTGAGCTAACTGTATTAATACAAGTGCCAGGAAGGTGTATCTGTAATATGAAGGGTCCTGCGTTTCACCCAAGGTGGCCTGATGGGCCCAATTTCAAGCAGTTAGTTTTCACAGTCTTGGTCATGGTTTTTCAGCAGTTGTGTATGTGTGTAGTGCAAGCTGGAATTTCCCTCTTTGTTTTCTTTTATAGTGCACAACACGTATATTAATAGCACAATAATGTTTTACTTTATCAGATTCTATTGCGTCCACGCTATAAAGGAACAGTGTGGTTCACAAACATCTTCTGGTTTTCCTGTGTTCAATAGGAAATAGCCCGTCATCTCCGACCTGGAACTCTGCGTGCTGTCTTTGGGAAGAACAAGATTCAGAATGCTGTCCACTGCACAGACCTACCTGAAGATGGACTTTTGGAGGTAAGACCTGCTAGACAAACATGTGCTTTTATATCATGGAAAGTTTTAAAGTGAAAAGCTATTCTTGACACTGTTTTAAGCTGTTGAAATGTTTTATATGCAGGAGTAGCTGTGTTGGAGACCAGTGATCAATTAGAAACAAAAGCAAAGAGTTTATTAAGGGTATTTAACTCAGTTAATTCTGATACTGTAAAAAAATTCATTCATGCCATTTTCTTGAGTGAATATAGTACAATGAAGTATTTAATGAAATGAAAGTCAAGAGTCTTCTCTTTGGCTGAATGTGTCCTTGGGACTGGATATCAGCACCTAACAGTGCTTCTGCAAGGACACTTTCTTAGCCCTTTCTTGGATGACCACCACAACTCCTGATCTGGATTGTCTCTACAGTGAGCTCGTGTGTGGCTTGGAATATTATGGGCACTAGGGATTCAAATTCTCCAGATAGGGTCCAGGTTTATTTGTAGGCAGTCGTAATTATGCATGTCAGTTGGTATTTCCTGTGTTTTATAGTAACTTCCCATTGCAGACGAGTCATTTTAACAGTCATTTATTGATTGTCTCTTTCTGGGAGAGGGGTCTAAAACCTTTTTTTACCGAAGGCATAATTGTACACAGAATGTGGCTCTTCATCTGTCTGTAGTTTCTTCTATAACAGTCCAGGTTAAGCCAGCAGTTGCAAAGGACATCAGTCAATGTTCTTTAATGAGTAAGTAAAGCAGTGAAGGTTTCATTCTGATTGTTTGGCAAATAAGCATTATAATGTAAACTATAGAAACCTTTTTACTGCTAACACTTTGATTCTGGGAGTATCTTTAGATCTGTATTCTGTAAGAAATGTAGTTGCCTGAAAACTTAGGTAAGCAAAAAAAATAGCCTCTGGATTTGCTTAAGTGCAAGGGCTTGTCACAACTGATGAAAAAGAAATAATACAGTATGCGCAGAGATCATCTTTGGGAAGGACTTTTTCCTCAGCGGGCTTTTCTGTGAGAGGAGCTTGAATCCAGTCACAGAGGTCTCATTTGCTGGCAAGCAGAAACCAGACCTTTGTCCCCCCTCAGCCCCAATCACTGTAACAGCACCATATGTGCTGGGTTAGAGCAGAGTGACTGTGTGGGGCATGCAAGACGACCATAGAAGGAAACTGAGCCAGACTAACATTTTTAAGGAGTATGCTGTTCAGTAAATGGTAGTGAATGTTTTCATTCTTCAATGGAAAACCGAATATTTTAATATACTGAGTTTAACAGAACAATTATTCTCAGCCTCGGAGGAGGTGAATTCAGAGATGGGTAAGGCACTTGTCGTTGAGGAGAATGGCCTTGGCTATGTTGGCGCAGTGGAACTTGCTTGTTTCGATATGGCGTTAGTGTGTGTTCGTTATGTCCATGTTCTGGTAGGAGATGTTGCTGTTGCTGAGATGTTAAGCTGCTGTTGCTATAAAAGCTTTACAGTATTGTTGTAGGACAACTGGTTAGTAGAGGAGGAGCCTGGAGTAAATTTCAGAGAGAAATCTGACCTACTAGATTTATACTACAAAGATGAAGGATCCTTTTGAAAACTCCAAAGAAAATGAAATCATCCCTAGCAGTCTTTTTCCTTTCTTCAGGTAGCATTGGTTTTTTGTACAGTGTTAATACTCTGCTGCAGTTACTACCCAGTATAGCTCAAAAAAACAGTCTATATTTAAATTCTTGCACTCCTGTTTTGCTGATGAAAGGTAAATTTGGCAATCTGAATTCAGGCACAAGAGCTAGGACCTTCAGAGTTTCATTTCTAACTCTGGTGCTGATTTTATCTGAGCTTGGCTCAGCCACTTTCCAAATTTCGGCATGAAAGTATTTGGCTCTGAAATTCTGTATGAAGATGTTCTGATTTACATTTCTCTTCTCCAAAATAAAAATACTGCTGTCTGATTGTCCACAAATGGAGACTTCTTAGGGGAGATGAGATAGGTAATTGAAGGCTAGATCAAATGCTTGCTGAAGTTAATAGCCAAGCTGTAGGTGACTTTGGTGGTTCATGCTTAGTTGGCAGTCACTAGGAAAGGCAAAGTAGTGACCTTTCTCCCAAAAATCATGACCAAGGAGTACTCGGGGAAAGGAGAGAGAACAACGGTGTCTTGGAAACAACAAGGACTAATTAACTAAGTAAAGGCCAGCTTGTGCATCTAGTTTTAGAACACTATATTTTAATTAATGTAGTACAGCAGTTTTTCAATGTTTTTTGTTAGATCTCTTTTCCATGGACCTGCAAAAAAGGAAAGTTCACTTTTAATCTTAAAAAACCCTCAAACAAACAAACAAACAAACCCCAAAAGCAAATACCAGCACTTGCTCCCACCAGTTTGACACTTAACTCCTGTCTTTGTTCTACAAACTACTTCACATTTTAGGCAGCGACTAAAGCATACCAGAATTAATGAATAACTCACTTTGGCTCAAGAGAGATGGGGAGATGCAGTTGAGCCTAAAACACAACTGGCCACAATGGAAATATCAGTGTATTTTCAGTTGTAAAGCTGTAACTGCTTCTTTTATTCCTAGTTTAGTGATACAGGAGAAGGGTGAATATTGCCCTGAAGCCTCTTGGATGATCTCTTTGACTTACTGGGTCAGGCACTTATTTATTCACTTCATAGACTTGCATGTCCTCATTTCAGTACAAAACGTATTTTCACAAGTGACAATGGATAGACACGAATAGCTCAGAACAGTCCGTTTTCTCAGCGTTGTCATCAATTTCCCATTTTAATGGGGAGAGGAAAAAAAGGAGGAAGTAGAGAAGGGAATCTGATAGCGATGAAGTATTTATGAGATGATGGGGTTTCATGAGTGAAGGCTAAACCAGCTGGTTCTTAATTTTTCTGATCAGCTGATGTTGTGTAGGGCATTCATTCAGAGCAGGGTTTTGCATTTGTTTCCCACATCTAAAGCAGGTACTGCTCTACCTCTTGTCAGTTTTTTTTCTATTTTATATAAAGCAGGTACTATTTGGAGCAAGCAAACAATTACAGTACTCACCTGCATTCACATCCTTCTGAGTCAGGTAGAGCAAGGACTGGAACATGCATGTTTTATATGCCAAGTAAGTGCTCTGTTGAACAGACCAGAGACGGGTTTGCGTTTGTGTCTTTCACGTACACGTGGTGAAAGATGATTCTGTTTCTCAACTCACCGTCTTTGACCTGAGGAACATTTCTGATAAATATATTTTTGAAATAGGAGCTTGCAAACCATTGGATCTGATGAATCATCATTCTCTAGACAAAACAATTTTTCTTGAAATTAGTCATTCCTGGACTAGTTTTAACTTAAGTACTCAATACAAGGTGTTGTGGCTACCAGAGTTTGTGGTTTATGTGCCTCCTTAAAGAAGTATAGGCAAATTAAAAATCAGTCCGTGAAGGCCTTATTCACATCCCTGGAAGTACAGTGAGTAAAACTTTCCACAGGAGGTGGTGCTGTACACACACCTCAGTTCGTTGGGTCTCAAGTGGCTGAGTACCTTTCAGATTATGCAGGAATCCACATAATCTGCAACCATTAAGAAACTGGTGGTCTAGACCTGCAGTTATAACAAAACCGGTATTTCTGGGTTTTGGCACACTCTGCCCGTAAATTGTTGCTCATACTGTGCAGTTCAGGGTGTTGGGTTGTTTTTTTTTTTTTGTGAGCAGTTCCATAAGGGCATTTGTCCTGCAGCAAAACACTCGGGGGATGATAGACTGCACACGCCTGGGGTAACCTGAAAGGTCTCTCCATTGAGGTGCAGCCTGCTGTGTCTGAGCCATCCACGCTAGCTTTATGTTCCTATGCCATGAGGTTTGGGCAATCAGTCAGTCCCATGGGGTTTCTTTGCATAATTAAAAATCTTTGCATAATTAAAAAATATTTAATAGTCATACATGTATATGTGTGTGCATACTTACACGTAGAGGGAGAGGATGCTGCCTTCAGTAAGATATTCCTGAAAAAGGATTTTCTGTGGGATGGGTAAAATTTGAGTTGTGGGTGAAATAACCGTCTCCCCGTTGCCGAGGAAGATGCTGTTATTAGGTGACTAATTCTTCTAGTGAACAGTAATGTGGCAATTGCTGCGGGAGTGTGCTTACATGTGCCTTGGCGTGTCTGGTAGGCTATGTGTGAAACTGCGGAGGGGGGTGGGCTGCTAAGGCAGCTTTCACGGGAGCGGAGGATGTGCCAGCTGCCTTCTCAGTCTTGCGTCCCCACGGGCGCTCTTTCCACTGACTCCTCGGGGTGCTGCGTGCATGCCTCCGCATGGCTGCCGGGTGCCGTCAGGCTCCGCCTTGGGCATTGGGACCGTGGAGGGAAATGTGTCAGTTTTCACTGCCACAGCCAGCTTTCCAGCCAGGCAGTACCAAGGACCTCCTCGAGTATCGTTTGCTGGCCTTCTCCCTTGCCTCAGGTCTATTTGTGGCATCTACAGACATGAAAATAACCTATCGAAGGGGGATGATTTTGCTGTTATCAAAGAAGAGTGGGTTTTGTTTGTCTTCTGAGAGAGCTGTCGTGATGGTGGTTGTTTTCCCTAGCACTTCTTTGAGTTTCAGCTGTGCAGTGGTGCTCGAGAGCGAGGCTGGGGACTGGCAGACTGCAACGTACTGCTGGAAGCTCTTCTTTCCCTTGCTCAGCCTCGCACCAGTGAGACTGGCTCACTGCTGCTAAGGCAAACGAGTAATACCATCTAGCTGTACAGATCAGCTGTGGCGGTCTGACGGACGGAGACTCACACAAGTTCTGGCACTGGAAGTTCAGCTGGCTGGATCCAGCCTTGGGGAGATGGGCGATGATGTCGTACGATAAGTGGTGACAGGACGAGCCAGTTCAGCAGATGTGTTTTGTCCAGACAAGTGCTGTGGGCGATGAAAACCAGCAGCGTTTTCCTCAGACTTGGTATTAGCTAAATTCTCTGACGAGTGTTACAAGCTGTGCTGCTCCTGGGCTTTTCGTGCAGCGTGTCTTCCACCTGCTCGAAGC